CAGGACGCTTGGGATACTTGCTCAGATTGTAGTAATTACTGTAAGTCAGTGTTTCAAAAATTCATTTGACTCATGCCAGATATTTCATATTAGAAAGAGTTCCAAGAAAAATGCCACAAAAAGTATATATAATGAAATAAATGGTATTTTCTAGTTTTGATTTACTCACAATTTATTCTACAATAAGTACAGTATGAAACCTGGGCCTGTTTAGATGAACACAAGGCTGATTGAAGGAATTGAAGAAAAACACATCTTTTTCAATGGCTCTGAGTTTTTGTTTTTGTTTTTGTTGCCATCTGCTGTCAAAAAGTGGAACAGCAGTTAACTGTTCTACTGGTCACTTTCACATAGACAAAGACACATTATTAGGAATAGTTTTTATAAAACCAAAAAATGTTCAACCTCCCTATCATCTTATCTCAACACAGTATATAAAGTAGTATCTGTTCAGTCAGAATACTGCGTATATTACTGTGTGAATAACTGCCCTTATTTGAAAATCCATTGTAAAGAAGTATTATGGTTATATATAAGTGAACCAGAAGCTCATCAATATTTTTGGTTCCTCGCCCTTTGAGTGTAGTGACTTCTAACTAAAATGATGTTCTGGTTAAGAATGGTGGGAAAATGTCTTAAATCCCAATTCCACTTGGCATTGTTTATCTTTAGTCTAAAAACACAGCACAATATAGTGTCAGTAAAAAACAAAAAATGTCAGGTATTAAATGCAAGCAGCTCATTATGCTTTTCTTAAAAAGGATTCGAAGGTTCGTAGGGGTTAAATGGACACTCACCCATTAGTAAAAATAAGCTGCAGCATTTGTGCAACAAATTCACCGCTTACTCATTGAATGGCAGTCACTGCCTGTGATTTAAAAGCTTTTGTTGTGATTAGGTGCTGGACATTGGTGACAGCCTCGCCATCCCGGACGAGTTCACGGAAGAGGAGAAGACGACGGGTCTGTGGTGGAAGCAGCTGTCGGCGGGAGCCATGGCAGGAGCTGTGTCACGTACGGGGACGGCTCCTCTGGACAGAATGAAGGTCTTCATGCAGGTGTGTCAGCACTCTGACTGGTATAATCCGTGTCATAAATCACAGTGGTGAGTCACTGCTTGGATACTAATACTGGGCTCTGTAATTATAAAGTTTAACATGTGTACAAAGTTCAACACTGGTAAATTCCCTGGCAGACATTCTTTGTTCTTCACTCACAGCCTTATTAACGTCTTCTGTATTTTAACCCTCCCGTTGTCCTCCGCATTGTTGGACACACCCTTCGTCCTTGCAATGATTTTCATCTTGTCCCAGAATACACACAGAAAAGCACATTTGGTCTAGGTGACCCGGTGGTCATCTAGACCCGAAGGACTGCACGAGGGTTAATCCATATTGTTAAGTAGTACACAAATAAAAATACTGTACTTGTATCTGCCTCTGAAAGTGGTATTGGAACACTATTACAATACTAAGTAAGTATTTATAGTGATTAGTAACAGTGAATGTGCAGTAAATAATGCAAAAAATATTTTTTGCCTTTTACGAGTACAATGATTAGACAGTGCTTGTTTTTGTTGTGTAAATGATTTTTGCACATTCACTTTATCTTGTTTGATTCACAGGTGCATTCATCCAAGAGCAATAAAATCAACCTGGTAGGAGGCTTCAAGCAAATGTTAAAAGAAGGAGGAATATCGTCTCTGTGGAGAGGAAATGGTATAAACGTCCTGAAGATCGCCCCCGAAACGGCCATTAAATTTATGGCCTACGAGCAGGTAAATAAGTTTCTTCTCAATGGAATATGGCACGCTGGACATAAGTGTACCACTGCTGTAATGCTTTAATGATAACAAGCCTCCAGTCACTAGGTGGCAACAACTCATACAGATGTTTGTACCGATAACATTACACATTATCAGGTTCTCAATAGTATTTCAATTTGTGGGAGTGTGGGTGAGGGAGGGGTCGTGAAAACATTTCTGTCTATGTATTACTCACTGTGATCCATTATTTTTAATGAATAAGAAATTAATTTTGAGTATAATATTGACTATATTTCTCACTGTTACTGTTACACTGATAATGTTGTGGGGTATGGGAGGGGGCGGGTGTTGGAGCTATTTAACAGTGTCTGGTGTCCCTGTGTCTGCCAACAGTATAAGAAGATGCTGTCCAGTGAACCAGGGAAGGTAAAGACGCATGAGAGGTTCTTGTCTGGGTCACTGGCTGGAGCCACTGCACAAACTGCCATCTACCCCATGGAGGTAAACAGTAGTGTGTAATAACAGGGTAGCTGAAGAATACAATCACGATTGAGAGAAGTCACCAATCCCCCCTCCCCTGTATATTAATGAAAACAGAAAGTGTTTCACACCTGTTTTTATTCCAAATGATGGAATTTTGTAATATGGAAAATATCAGAAAACATTGTACACACATAATTTCATTTGTTACAGTTTGGGGCAAAAGGTCACTCATTTAAATTACTGTATGTCCAACAAAATATTTGTGAGCTGCTAAGAATGTAGAATATGTGTAACAAAAACAAAATGCTGTACATAGCCCAGAAGAGGGCGCACACATTGTATAATTAAGGAGAATGCATGAACATGTGCATTGTTAACACAATGTGTTTGTTGCCTCACTCTGTGTAGGTGATGAAAACCCGCCTGACCCTGAGGAAGACCGGTCAATACTCAGGAATGTTTGACTGTGCCAAGAAAATCCTGAAAAAGGAGGGAGTGAAGGCCTTCTACAAGGGCTACATTCCTAACATCCTGGGCATCATTCCTTACGCTGGAATTGATCTGGCTATATACGAGGTGGAGTAGATTCCATGGAGTAAAGATAACCTGGAACACAGACGTTAAATGTTTCTTATTTGAAGCTCCTCTTTAACATGGTCTGTACATCTTTCCTCAGAGCCTGAAGAACTTCTGGCTGTCGCGATACGCCAAAGACACGGCCAACCCAGGTATTCTGGTGCTGCTTGGCTGTGGAACCATATCCAGCTCATGTGGCCAGTTAGCCAGTTATCCTCTGGCTCTGATCCGCACCAGGATGCAGGCACAAGGTACCAGGATTCAAAACAGTGTTTAGATCATGTGCAAGAAGGGAAGTCAAAAAAAGTTTTAAAGCAAATTAAAAAAAATAAATAAATAGGAGAATTAATTTAGTTAATTTCACACAAAGTGACACCAAGCTTTTTTAAATACTTTTAGTTCTTGACATTCCTCTCTCCTGGACTGAAATCCCGTTCTTTCGGTCCTGGAAAGAAATTCAAATTGAGACAGTATTGAATTTGCCTGGAAAGAAATTCAAATTGAGACAGTGTACATCAAATCAGGAAAAAGCTTCAATACTTTTAACTAATTTCTGTTTTGTTTTAATTAAATATTTGATATTAGATAGAGATATAATGATACAAAAGAGACAGGTCTCAACATGTTTTAGTTTGATTTTAATCAGACATCCTTAAAAAAACAATCTGTCTGAGAACTTTTTGACTCGTTATCAATAACAATCCCCTCTTTTATTACTTTTATTTTCAACATTTCCAAAAAATGTTTCCTCATCGTCTGACGTGTACTCTGCTCCTCAGCTTCTATTGAGGGCTCTGAACAGCTTCCCATGAACATAATGGTGAAGAAGATTCTACAGAAGGAAGGCTTCTTCGGACTTTATCGTGGCATCCTGCCCAACTTCATGAAGGTCATACCGGCTGTTAGCATCAGTTACGTAGTCTATGAGTACATGCGGTCAGGCCTGGGGATCCAGAAGTAGGAGTCCATTCACGGTGATGCGAAACACTTACCGTCCCACACGTCAGGAGAACAGCATTAGGAATTTGTTTACCTTAACGTCAGTGCCTGAACTCAGACTGCCGCGGAGAGGCTCTCTGAAGATATTTTGTCCAATCATAAACCTGCACACGGCAGACATTTACAAATCTATGGTGGATTTTTGTTTTGTTTTGTCTGAATTAGTTCGTTTAGGCTATGTTTACGACACTTTCACACATTTTACTTCACTCTCATTCTCTGGACGCCGTAAGTTAATCAGCCAAAGTAAAATTTTAGTCTAAAGAAAATTTTAGATAGAACTACAACGAGTATTTCAACACTTTTTCATACACTTTATCTTTGCTTTGATGAATTAATGTGTTTCGTCACATTAATTTTGACCGCAAAGCACCTTATCGTACTAAATTTACTCAACGGGAAATTCGGGTTCTATATCGAAGTGGAATCATGGCATTATGTTAAATAGTTATATATTTTCTACAGGCACCTCAAACATTGGGTAAGAAATCAGGAAAATCCTTAAGTGCAATACAGCAATATTTACATTTGACTTCTGCTGACAAGTTAGATGGCGGTATGTTAGTTTTGGTGATGAGTTTGACTTTGAATTTTTGGGTAAATTCTCACAACCTGTTTCCAGAATGTGTAAACAGTGGGAGTGATGTGCCTTACAGTATGTGACTTTTCCTCAACCCTTTTGTCACCTTTGTTTCCTGTATATGTGGATTAGATTATCAAGTTTATAGAAATAAAACATTTTCATAAAAAAATACATTACAGAACATGTTGTTTGCAGTTTGCTTTGCCTAAATACTTAGAGAGAGCAGTTCCATAGTGTAGCGGTTAGCATGCCTGACTTGCACGCAAAGAGCAGAGAGTCATGGGTTTGATTCTCTGAGAAACCACATTTTCCTAATGGCGCCCTCCTGTGGCAGCCTGTTGCAAAGTCTCACATTGTACATTTCTCCATTGTGGGACAAATAAAAGACTTTAAATAAAAATTATTATCGTTATTATTAACCCCCTGCATTCTACGGTATTTTATAGCCAGTGTTGAAGGCAGAGAAGTCAGATTCTGTACATAGTGGTGTATTAACACGTTAAGACTTGAAACTTTGACTCCTTACACAGGGGTGCTTTTTTGTTGCCTTTTTTGCACTGCACTTCTTCCAGTGATGCAGAGGTTTGTGACCCTCAGAACTGAGCCTTGATGAGAGCTAAAGTTGACCAAAAAGAACCAGATCCCCTATGAAATTGAATATTGATAATATTACTACTATTCTAAAAATAATAAGACAAAAACACTAAAATTATTAACATTTATTTTGAGAAAAGTTTAGATTCTGGGTACATGTTATTTATTACAAGTGTACCAATTAAAGAGAAAAAACCTACAATGGTCATCACGGCTCGTAAAGCTTTGAACCAGCTGGGATATGTAGGCAGCAGAGAGAGATCATAATGAAGTGCGATTCCAAGTCCCATAATAACCATGGTTGCAGCAGGTAAGATGCTGTCATTCGTCACAAGGGCAAGCCATGCAAAAAGAGGGGAAACCACACTGTTGGCCAGGTTCATCCAATCAGGTTTGGCTGGACTGCTCTCAGGAAGAGCAAATCCCCAGCGAGCACCGCCAGAAAAGGAAACAATGGATGCACCATAGGCTACCTGTGCATATGCAAGTTCTGGGAAGTAATTCCCCATCCCTGCCATAAACATAGTTGGGACCACAAAGGGGAGGAGACCAGCAAAGCCCAGATATAAGGCAGGTTTAGGACTGTTCCGCAATTCCTTCATGTCATAGCGAAGTAGATCCAGCTCTCTTGGAGGAGGTTCAGGCTTTGGGTGCTTCTTCATCCTTGCAGCTGAAGAGTGGAAATATCTGTTTCCGACTAGACATCGGAAAACATGGGGCTGAGACATTAGCAGTGGCAGATCCTTTGTGAAACCATGCACCCTGAAACTATTTTCCAAATTATCTTTTGACTGCAACCATGTTGTTGTCCTACAGGTCTGGACAGAAGTCAGTGTAGATCTCCTGCACCTGAGTACAGGACCTGGCCAGGGTAAAATCTATGAAAAAAATATACAGAATTGCAAATGATTTAAAATTCACACAACAACAACAACATATACATATATACTGTATATAAATTACCTTTCTGGTTGCAAAGGTGTTTCTTCCAGAAATCACACCCAACATCTAAAATGAAAAGTATGCAAGTAATTAATTTATTAGGACTTTACACATATTTGCTAATTTATGTCACCAATTAAACCAGAAGTCAGACATTGAACAGCAATATTAGAGCTTAAACAGAAACATTAGACACCGCAGTCGCCCTCTAGTGACTAAATGCGACTACTGTACAAAGCCTTATTGAAAAGGGACGCAACGTTCAAGCCACAATAGAAAATAAACACTTTAAGTGAGATATTCCTTTTTTAATTCCAGGGTTGGTCATTTAATACACTTTTATAGATACAATATGAAAAGTTATGAAAGGAACTTGCCGAATAGACCGCAGTTTTCTGCTGTCCCAACACTAGCGTTTCTTAGCCCATATTATTTAATATAAATAAACATAAAAATGTGAGCTGTTTATTTACGAAATTATATGACACTTCTTTATCGAGCAGCAAATTTTACCTTTAACAGCGCGGCAGACTAATTTTTGAAGAAATCTCGGGGTCACTCTTTTGCAAGACGGCCCACACAGTGTGTGACACACTATCTTCCGTTTCGAATCTCGTCCGTGCTCGTCATAGCCGTAACTTTGGTTCCATGTTATTTCAAGAGCAACACACATATTATATTACATTATTATATTTCAAAAGCGTGTATTTCACCAAAGGGTATAAGTTGTCTTTGGAAATCATAACGTCGAAGTCAAGTAAACAAAACAAAACCGGAAACTCGGTATATAGGAACAATTAAAAGCCAATCTGACCTAAGGTCTTCTCCAACGCTTCAAATGTGACGGTATTACTTTTACAAAGCATATTATTTAATCTCTTTGCGTGTAACCTTGACTTTCACCGACCAGTAAAAAATAAATGTAAAAAATGCACAGTTTTTAAAAACCATTATTTAAAAAATGCACAGTTTTTAAAAACCATTTAAAAACCATTATTTAAAAACTGGCAACCCACACAAACCTGGCAATCCACTGTGCGTCATTTTAAGGAGATGACGTAGAACGTACCGGTTTACGTTTAACTCAATGGCGGCATCCTGTGGCAGAAGGTTAGTTGAAGAAAACAGTGTGGTAAAATCACAAGAAAGCAAAGTTAATGATGGTTAATGGGGAAAGAAAGAGGAGCGGAATCTCCATGCTATAAAGAGTAAGGTATATATTTTTTCATACCGGCGCCTCGAATTTTCTAAACTGAAGTACCTCGCTAACTTTGTTAAACAAGTGTTGGAGACAGTGGTGGTGAAGCTACCGGCTGTGTATGCTAGCCACAGTTTAACGTAAAAAGATAGAAAAATGAATTACTTAACGTGTTTTGAACTACTTAATGTAAGACACTGGTTTTGTTGTACTCTCATTACTACAGTAGTTCGCTGCAGTTGAAGTTTAAGTTCAAAGCGCATGAAAAATGAAAGGCTTGCTAACATATATGCTGGTATTTAAAATAAAGAAATCTGAAAAGAATGCTTTAAAAACATTATACAGAATGTCGAAGATCATTGCACATTAATCATATTTATTACTGCTGACGACATTGATGACAACAACCAAAAAAATCAAAATATATGGGTGTTTCCATAAATGGAATATGACTCCTATAAAACTGGAATTTACAAGCTGATTATATTTCATAAAATTTGAAAATTGTTTATGTTGAGTTGTGCGCCATCCCCTGTACTGCTGAATGATTGTGTGCTGAATTAATAAAATTAAATTGGAAAAATAAAATCAAAGTAATTCGACACGCTGAAAAACAAACTGAACAAACAGCAATATATTAAATATAATTTATAGTGAATACTCCAACTAAATTAACCCAGTCCTAGTGATCTTTAAATAGTTGTGTATCAACAATGTATAAGCTGTTCTTAAAAGTCTTGCGACATGATAATCAATACACCGTGCACCCCAATACATTGTATAAGAAGTGTTGAAAGCATCCATTATCAACTCCCTCTATAATATTATTTATTAATGACAGTTGCAGTTCTCACCCGAGGTGTAGCAAATTGGTGAAATGTTGTCCAATCAATATAATCCAAAAGCGGATGACGATTAAGATGTTTTTGCAAAGTTTAGCAATTTTGTTGGTATTAAAAAAACAAACATAATGCATCATAATTAACCTTTATGCAAGTGATAATACCATAGCCAAGTGTTGAATTGACAGAACAAAGCTGACAGGCTTGAAGTACATACTCAAACTAGTAACTAGTAAAGTCTGGTTCTAAACAGTAATTGGTATTTAATAATTTAGTAAAATAGTTATTGACTTACTAACAGTGATGCCATGAGAACAACAAAAGCTCAATTTTAATGGTAATCTGTGGTGCAAGCCATAGAACTTTTTTCTAGCTGCCTTCAATGATTAGACTCAGAATTGACACAGTAGGTGTTTTTACTTTCAGAAAGAAAATTTATTACTTTGAAGCAGGTAAAGAACAATTACAGCAAGAGTCTTGAGTTTTGACTTAAAGGGGAGACCACACTTATCATTGTATCAATATTTACAAACATGTCATCCATTGCATGAGTGTGATTTTCATATTTTTTTTTCATTCAGCCTCAGCATCATGTCATTTTGTTGGATCAGGCCAGAAGACGTCATGCACACATCTCACAAAATCTCCTTCGGCTCTGTCTCTACTTTTGTCGGCTCGTCTTACTCCTGTGTTCAAAGTGGCTTATTTAATCAAATCATTGGCGCAGGTGAGTTTTCTTTTTCTTTCTTTTCTTTGTATCTTTGTTTTTGATTGGTTTTGTGTAAGCTGTGCTCCCTCTGCCACCTGTTATTACCATCATGAATCACAAAAGCATCACTTTGTGGTCAGGCAGTGTTAATGTGCAAAAAAGGCAAATAAAATCCAAATATTTCACTTGGTGAATATACATTTGAAAATAAAGTGCAAGCAAAAATTAAGTACAGATAATAACACCAGTGTAAGGTTTTTTTTAGCCTAAGAAGTCATTGAAGAGGTGTCCGTCTAACATAGGCATCCAAAGCGCACTTTGTAGTCATGGCACCTGGCGCCTCTCTGGTCCCTGTTGCGACAGACAAATCCTGTAGTTGGGCTAAAGCTGGAAAGACAAGGAAGTTTTAACAAGGGTTAGAATCTACTGTACAATGAATCTGCAATGTTTTTTCAACCTGCCACTATTAATATCAACAACAGCACCATGTTAGAGCCCACTCAGTCATATTAAACACTGAGTCATATTAAAGCATATTTTGGGTCAGATGAAAACTAATCTTTTTATGGCTCTGATTTTTTTGCCTCAGCATTTTAATTAAAAAAGCCAAATTCTAACTTTTATCTCTGAACGTATGACCTTGAAACTTAATGTAAAACCCACTAAAATCAAAATGGAAATGGGGAGGCTTTAAGCGGCCATGGGTGATTTGGTATTCTTTAGTTAATGACAATAAGCAGGTTATACATGATCAATTAATCCAAATCTTAAACTTACATAAAGGCTGTCTGTCCAGTAGATGTGGCTGGGGTGTTTGTGTCGGAAGTAACAGCATCTATGTAGAGTGGGCTTTCACAGATTTCCCCAGGATTCTCTTTCCTTAAATTGTTCAGTAGCTCCCAGTCACCAATTCCATTTGGTGTATCACCATTAAACCACTTGGTCCAACAAACTAGAATAAAGATGACAATAAAAAAAATAGTGAAATACTGGAATGGTTAAGACAAGGATAATGATTTTGAAAAATGACTTCCAACTACCTTTGCGACTGCAGAAATCAGCAGGACACAGGAAACGGACACGATAGTCATTACATTCGCACTCATTTTGGTCTGCGTTTTTGCAGATGAATCCTATGGTTGGGTCCATTCTGCAGGTATTAAAATGGTCTGATTATTAGACAGAATAGACACCAAGAAGTATTATTAAAAAAAGGTGGAAACAGGTTATGAGAAAATATGAAGAAAATGCTTACACAGCAAATTTGTCCTTTGTTTCTGCTACACTTTTTCCTGATGTGGTTTGGACCTCGATGTTAAGAGGGGAATTGCATATTTTTCCAATATTTTCTTTGTATAGATTATCCAGTAACTCAAAGTCCCCAGTTCCAGAGGGATCATCACTGTCAAACCACTCTGTCCAACATGTTTTTTCAGCGCATCCTTGTTTTGAATCATTGCCATTGCATCCTTTACTGCCGTAACGGCGCCTGCATCCTTTCTTAGGTTTGTAGTTGTCTTCTGGCTCAAGTTCAGGTTCATCTGTTTCTTCTGTCTTCTCGTGTTTCTCTGACTTCCAAGAGTCATCTGGTTTCTCTGATTTTTCAGGTTTCTTATTTTCATCATTTTTGTCTTCCTTGTCATGATCCTTACATTTATCATGTTTAGTGTGCTTATCACATTTGTGGTCCTTAGAATTTTGGTCTGATTTATCATCTTTATCATCCTTGTCATCCTTATCTTTATCATCCTTGTCCTCTTTTTCGTTTTTATTTTTATCATCTTTGTCTTTCTTGCCTTTATCCTCTTTGTCTTTCTTATCTTTATCGTCTTTGTCTTTATTGTCTTTATCCTCTTTGTCTTTCTTGTCTTTATCCTCTTTGTCTTTCTTGTTTTTACACTCTTTGTCCTTCTTATCTTTATCCTCTTTGTCTTTTTTGTCTTTACACTCTTTGTCTTTCTTGTTTTTACAATCTTTGTCTTTCTTATCTTTATCCTCTTTGTCCTTCTTGTCTTTATCCTCTTTGTCTTTCTTATCTTTATCCTCGTTGTCTTTCTTGTCTTTATCCTCTTTGTCCTTCTTATCTTTATCCTCTTTGTCTTTTTTGTCTTTATCCTCTTTGTCTTTCTTGTCTTTGTCCTCTTTGTCCTTCTTGTCTTTGTCCTCTTTGTCTTTCTTGTCTTTATCCTCTTTGTCTTTATCTTCTTTGTCTTTCTTGTCTTTATCCTCTTTGTCTTTCTTATCTTTATCCTCGTTGTCTTTCTTGTCTTTATCCTCTTTGTCTTTCTTATCTTTATCCACTTTGTCCTTCTTGTCTTTATCCTCTTTGTCTTTCTTATCTTTATCCTCGTTGTCTTTCTTGTCTTTATCCTCTTTGTCCTTCTTATCTTTATCCTCTTTGTCTTTTTTGTCTTTACACTCTTTGTCTTTCTTGTTTTTACAATCTTTGTCCTTCTTGTCTTTATCCTGTTTATCTTTATCCTCTTTGTCTTTATCCTCTTTGTCTTTCTTGTCTTTACACCCTTTGTCTTTCTTGTTTTTACAATCTTTGTCCTTCTTGTCTTTATCCTGTTTATCTTTATCCTCTTTGTCTTTATCCTCTTTGTCTTTGTTGTCTTTATCCTCGTTGTCTTTCTTGTCTTTATCCTCTTTGTCCTTCTTGTCTTTGTCCTCTTTGTCTTTCTTGTCTTTATCTTCTTTGTCCTTCTTGTCTTTATCCTCTTTGTCTTTCTTATCTTTATCCTCGTTGTCTTTCTTGTCTTTATCCTCTTTGTCTTTCTTATCTTTATCCACTTTGTCCTTCTTGTCTTTATCCTCTTTGTCCTTCTTGTCTTTATCCTCTTTGTCTTTTTTGTCTTTCTTGTCTTTACACCCTTTGTCTTTCTTGTTTTTACAATCTTTGTCCTTCTTGTCTTTATCCTGTTTATCTTTATCCTCTTTGTCTTTATCCTCTTTGTCCTTCTTGTCTTTGTCCTCTTTGTCTTTCTTGTCTTTGTCCTCTTTGTCTTTCTTGTCTTTATCCTCTTTGTCTTTCTTATCTTTATCCACTTTGTCCTTCTTGTCTTTATCCTCTTTGTCCTTCTTATCTTTATCCTCTTTGTCTTTTTTGTCTTTACACTCTTTGTCTTTCTTGTTTTTACAATCTTTGTCCTTCTTGTCTTTATCCTGCCTCTTTGTCTTTCTTGTCTTTGTCCTCTTTGTCCTTATTGTCTTTGTCTTCTTTGTCCTGCTTGTCTTTGTCCTCTTTGTCTTTCTTGTCTTTGTCCTCTTTGTCCTTATTGTCTTTGTCTTCTTTGTCCTGCTTGTCTTTGTCCTCTTTGTCTTTCTTGTCTTTGTCCTCTTTGTCCTTATTGTCTTTGTCTTCTTTGTCCTGCTTGTCTTTGTCCTCTTTGTCTTTCTTGTCTTTGTCCTCTTTGTCCTTATTGTCTTTGTCTTCTTTGTCCTGCTTGTCTTTGTCCTCTTTGTCTTTCTTGTCTTTGTCCTCTTTGTCCTTATTGTCTTTGTCTTCTTTGTCCTGCTTGTCTTTGTCCTCTTTGTCTTTCTTGTCTTTGTCCTCTTTGTCCTTATTGTCTTTGTCTTCTTTGTCCTGCTTGTCTTTGTCCTCTTTGTCTTTCTTGTCTTTGTCCTCTTTGTCTTTCTTGTCTTTGTCCTCTTTGTCCTTATTGTCTTTGTCTTCTTTGTCCTGCTTGTCTTTGTCCTCTTTGTCTTTCTTGTCTTTATCTTCTTTGTCTTTCTTGTCTTTATCCTCTTTGTCTTTAACATCTTTGTCTTTCTGGTCTTTATCCTCTTTGTCTTTATCCTTTTTGTCTTTCTTGTCTTTATCCTCTTTGTCTTTCTTGTCTTT